TTTGTCCACACATTCACTGGTGTAAGTCTACTAAAATGACCATGATGGGGAACTCTGGAAAAGGGACCGCTTGCATCCAGGACAAATCAGCATCCCCCGGAGGAAGGCAGGGCGATGAGAGCTTGTTTTGTTTTGTTAGAAACTTCATGTCCAAGTTAAGAACTTTGACATTCGTTTTATCACTTACATTAACTGTCTGAGCAGCCTTCACTTGAATGTTTTAAAGATTACACAAGAAATCTAAAGTCCAGTGCATCTAGGCTCTGTGTCTCAACAAGTATCTCAGAGGTCTAGTTGAACGTGCTCAGCCAGGATTTTAATTTGAAGCTTGCAGAGCCAATAATTCTCGATCCACGCTTTCTGCTCCTATTAATTGATGAGAAGTGAATGGAACACTCCTTGGGGAAGTACTTAGTCCAGACTTCACCCTCTTACAAATAAAACCGCTGGATCAGTTCCAATCCACAACTGTTATTCTTGGGCCAGGGACTAGGAGAAGTGTCTGCTCATCTAACAGTGACCATCTAAACTCCAGTGTATGCCAGACACCGTATAAAGTACAAGGAATACGGCGCTAAATAATAAAATCCGTATGGGAAATCCTGTTCCAAGGAAACAAACGATGCTCTAGCAGGCACACCTCGCCGTATCTGGGAGAGGAGAAAGGAAGAACGGCTAAGAAGGCAGTGCTGAAGGATAAGTCTTAAGAGGGCCAAGAGGGGTTTCCCAATCAAAAAGGCAGGGTAGCACAACCCCAGGCGAATAGCTAAGGCTCCCTAGGCCGGGAACAATCCCAGGAAAGAGCCACGTGAAAGAATCAAGGTGAGGAGCATAATGAATAATAAGCCGAGGGTCCTTGCTGCGGGGGAGCTTGCTGCTTGTTCTAGTCCTGACAACATAATGAGATGTCATAATGAGGTGAGAAGGTAAGCCGTTCTCCTAGGAAAAGCTGTGAAAATGAAGCTGTAAATAAGGCTGGCACCTTTTCTCCCTAGTCTTGGACAGCAGATATTTTCCTGTAAACAGATGCTTCATTTGGGGCCCCCAGGACTGAGATCTCCCTGCGGCAGTTCACACCTCCAGATGTCCATTGTGTCTGTTTAGAGGTATTGTAGGCATATCAGGATCTATTCACCAAAAAGTGACCTTCGGCTTCTTTTCCAAGCCTGCTAGGAACCCGGTCTTTCATCTCAGTTACTAATGCTTCAGTCTCACAGTTGCTAAAGCAAAATACTAGGACTCGCTGCTTGCTCTTTAGGCCAGGCCTTGAATATACAAAGCTTCGTAACAAGCATGCTGATCCCACACTCAAGCGCGCTTCTCCCCACTACACTACGCTCCAGTTCTTAGCCCAAGTGACCACCTTTGCCCGACATTTCTAGGTGATCTCCAAACTCCTTGGCACCTCACTCTTCATTCTCCACCTAACAGGCAGAACCTTTTCCATGCAGAGTCACACCTCGTCACTGCTGGATTGAAATTCCTTGTGTCAGAGTCATGGACCCCCAGCTCTCCAGTTTGGACCCTAGCACGACTTACCAACCAATTCTAGTCTCCTGGATTTACCAGCCGATTTTAGTTCAGTCTCATCTTGATTTCCAGAACATGGGAGCTCTTTCCTCACCAATGCTACTGAATCCACAGCTTCCATGTCCCCCACTGATCTCTAGCTCCACAAAGGCTGTCTTGCCATCCTCTTTCAACCTTTCCTCCAAAAGTCCCGTTGAAAGCATCCGAACACGACATCTAATAAAGCCACCCGAACTCTTCAGAAACATCACCCTACTTATTTCCTTCTTAGGAACTAGCAGGATATGTAAGGACTTGTTCACTCATCTATTTCTTTACTGTGTCTTTCCTCTACTAAGTCCCAAATTGATGAAAAATGCTATAAATACCACATCCTAAGTAAGTAGTGTATGGTATGTGGCTCCAGGCGTGTCCTTAATAAATATTTACTGAACAAATGAGGGCCAAAGCCGATAATGTTTTGACAGTAGACTTAAAGGTTAATGGAAACATACAGGAATACCAATTATTGATAAAAAAAAAGTTGAAATGATTGTTTGATTCTCTGGTGAGTCACCAGAGAAGGCGGCATGTTTGCCTGGATCATTAATCACATATTTGGATTGACTACTTGCGCCGAATTGCTCTTTGTTTCCCTGCTGTTTGGTAAACCCTTCCTCTGTAGAAGGCAGAGGTAAGAATGCTGTGAGCGGAGAATAATATAGACGGAAAAGTGGAAAACAGTAATCGTCTTAGATGCTTTAACGAGAAAGAACTTTGAATGCCACGTTGCTACCGTCTTTGTGGTTTCCAAACAGTCTTCTTCCCTGAAGATTTGGGCTGGAGAGGTCTGTGTTTAGTTGTATCGCAGAGGAGGCAGCAGCACAAAGACAGCAGAGGTAGGATAATGAGAGGGACAGGTGGTAGAGCAGGAAGATTTAAGAGTTGAGACCACACGGGGTAAGGATTTTCCTGAGTCTTTAGAACGTGTGCTTATGACCACTGAAGGAAGGATAGCCCTTCCTCTCCTTGGTGTGGAGTATGAAGGAAAGTTAGAACTTCCTTGTGGCCTGTGAAAAGTGGGAAAGAGGAGGTGGGGACAGAGCAGAACATAGGGAATGTGTCTTGGAATGTTGTTGAGGGATTGGGAACTATTGACAAAGAATTCATTAAAAAAAAATCGTCACTGAAGATCCACCAAAGCCATGAATTCTGTACCTATTCATACAATTGTATCATTAATCAAATGGTTATTCAGTGTTCTAGCAGACACTCAAAGTGCCAAGATTAGTAAATCACATGTTTTGCAATCAAGCAGGAGAGAGGTTGTACTAGTTAGCAAAGCCTCATGTTGAGGGTCAAACCAAACTCTACTGAGCTAGAACCCCGAGGATGGAGGTGGAGAGGAGCCAGCTCTTGTCAGAGTCTGTTGCTTTATAATTGAAGATTTTAGGAGTAAAAAACCAATGATGGTCAAATGCCAAAGGAGAACACAGTTCCATAGAAGACCTATAAATATGGCAGCTTGAAAGGAAATTCGAACGTCGCCCAGACAGGCAGGGTAGGTTTGAGGTTATGACTCAGGTGCTGCAAGGCTTGACATGGACCTGGGGGTGCCCTGGAAGGCCACACAGAGCACTGACAAGAACAGGCAGAGGGTGCCATATTCAGACAATAAAAAAATGGAGACTAGATGGAATTATGTGTGAGAAAGATGTGATCGTGTTCTTAAAGTCAGAGTTGATAGCAAACAAAAAGCACTCCCCGGGATGCTGGTCAGAGACCTAGGGAGCTCTCTACCACAGGACTGCAGTCGCAGCAGGAAGAGGTGCTCTGACCTGCAGAGCTGTGAGAAACCTTTCAGACCAGGTTTCCCAGGGTGCAGCTCAGGACTGAGCTCTGCGAATGATGAATGACAATGACTGCAGGAGGAGAAGGAGGAAGAGAGGAGAGGTGGGAAGAGAGGGCAAAAGAAGGAAGAACTGAGGTATGGAGGGAAGAAAGGAGAGGGACTAAGGGAAGGAAGGGGGATAGCGCATATTCTCACATACTCTCGGGTCTGCAAAAGGCAACACACCCATTCCTGTCAGAGACCACCGGGCTCTAGCAGCCTGTCTGCAGAGAGAATGCTGCTCTTTCTCCCAGGCCAAGAGTAAGCACATGTCATTGTGTTGGTGTGACCAGGAGAAAGAGCTCTTCTGTCTCTTTTTCAAACTTGCTTTTGAAGTAGCAGCAGCACCTTGAGAATGAAAGATACTGTTTTGCAAAAACAAAATAAAACAGAAAACTATAAAGATCACTTATAATTGCAATGGAGATGCTATAATTATTATCCTGTCTGACACTTGGGGATTCCTGGCATTAATCACAAGGGCTGTACTGCTCCCCCCGCCCCCCACACCATCTTTGTTGCTGGCATCTTTCTGGTTTCTCTCTTTAAACTCTGTCTTGAGTCATGTTGAATGGGTACCACTTTGTGCCACCTTCCCCTGCTGCTGCGGCATTGCTCTGACTGTGACCTTCAAATGCCTCTCTAGGCTGCCTCTTGAGAGGCTCTCAGGGTAAAGACCATGCTGCTAGGGCCAGCTGGGAAACCAATTAGCTTTTCATATCCAAACTCTCAGAAGACAAAGTGCCACACTGGAGGGGAGGCTAGCCAGGCACCCTGCGGAGCGCTGCCTGCCACCACGGAGGTGCCACTCGGTCGTTCATTTAGCAAGATCCAGCGTCTTGAGCCAGCAATATGGCAGCCTAGAGTAATAGAAGGGGCTTTTGTTAGCTTGAGTTGCCTAAGCATACTGGGGAACCCCGAAATGATTTCTCTTCCCTACAAAGAGTGCCTATTGCTTGCTTCCATTGAGAGAGGCAAAGCAGTCTCAGGAAGAACAATGCCTTCCACATTTGTGAACCCGAGAAGCACGACCTTTGTTTTACCACATAGGTCGAGACTACCCTTTACCACAACCTTGTTAGTTCGTTCTTTCCCTCCTTCCTCCCACCCATCTCCTGCCATTTCCCCGGGAGCATAAAGCTTTTAGCATCCGGCTGTCCATTAGCATAAATAAACCCACGCTTTTAAGGTAAAAATAGCTTCAAATGTTATATTTGCTAAAGACTGCATTACCATAAGAGAATAAAAATACTCCTGGTAACAGGTAGGTCATATGCTTTAGAGGCAGAAACACACTGTGTGTGTGCGCGTGTGTGTGTTTCCCTGAAAGGCGATGATTTCAGCCATAGATTAAAAGCCAGGTCTCAGTACACACTACATTTCCACTTCAGAAACCGTTAAGCGAGGAGAGTTCCAGAGACTTGTGCCTTTATGTTTTTATTTTTTCCCGTTGCCAATATTTTATAGGCAGTTCTAAAGCACAACATAAACAAAAGCCCATCCTTCAGTCTGATCTTGGTTGTGTGAGCAACTGGATGATTTGCCCCTCCTCCATTTTGTCTAGTGTTAATTCAAATGTGCTGTAACATTTATATGGCAGATAAGGAAATACTGGGCTGAGAAGCAGCAGAAGTGGCAAGACATGGAAATGAGAGATCTCCAGCGACTAGAAGAACTGACAGCATTCATGGCTGAGCAGTCCGTGAAAGACAGAGAAAGGTAACGGAGGGACTTGAGACCGTGATTGTGAGCCAGGGGAGCGCCTACTGCAAGATGTTAGGATAAGCGGTGATCAGGGCGAGGGTCTTTCACATCAGATATTGCCATTCAATATTTATATCTACAAATAGATAAAGCGATATATAGATAATATAGTTTAAATTCTCACTTTCATACTTAAGTCTCTAGTTTTCCATTTTGGTCCTTTGATGGCTTCCTAGTTAAAGATCTCACCGAGGGCTTTCTGGCAACTGGTCGCTCACTGCGTGAGTGAGATGATGCTGGTGGCTGCTGTGACTTAATATCTTGACCCAGGAGGAGGAAACCATTATTTTAATAAGAAAGGGGTCCACGCGCTGTGACTGAGGCTAAGAAAGACAATCCACAATTACACAGAGCTGGGTTGATGTTCCAGTGAACTCTGTGCACCAGATATGAAAATGTACCCTAGAGTTTTCCTACAATTCTGTAACTGCAGAGCTGGGCAGGACATTTGAGATAATGAGCTCCGTCTTTTTATTTTATGAGTTACACCAAGAAATTAAAACAATGTTTTTTAAAGATTACCTTATCGGGGCCTAAAAGAGAACAGTAAAAATCCTAATAATTTGGAAAGGAAAATCCAAAAATAAAGAGATCAGGAAACCCCTGTTACATAAAGAGATCAAGGGGACACAAAGGAAGTCTCTAGGGCTGAGGGAGAGTTCCTATGGAAGAAGTTAGAATTAGAACCTGTCTCTGGAGTTCTAGGTGCTCCTTGTCCCAACTATCTCCTGGATCGTCATCCTTAAGGATGTCTCAGTCCTTAAGAGTTGAATATGGAACCAAGAGGATAGCAAAGCCCGAGCTTCAAAGTCAGGTCAAACAACCAAAAGGGCAAACGGCAAGTGAAGGCCAAGATACAAGTGGCTATCCTCGGACAGCTGTGATGTGACTCAGAAAGAAGTGAATGGGAACTCACCCCCCCCCCCCCATAGCCGTGCACCAAAGGGCAATGCAAAGGCGACGGTCAGGAGGCTGGTGGGGCTGTTTAAGCTCCCCCAGGAAGAGAAAGAGAGCCACGGGAACTTAAGGGAGACAGAAAGCAGCGCAGATGTGGAGTTCAGGCATTTGGGGCGAGCTCCTAATAGAACGGCTCTCATGGCGGGGAGCTTCTCCGATTGCAGAGCCATTTTCGGTCTTCGGCTTCCTGTCCTAGTAATTAGCAAGATTAGCTGATTCAGAGCTTCGGTTGAAAAGAAGAAAACGAAAATCAGATTAGTGTGTATTACATAACAGGGAAAAATAGCCAAACTGCAGCATAGCGAAAAGGGCTGAGGACCAAGCGCTGTAGCTCAGGATTTTATTCTTAACTAGGCTTTGAACAGTGTACGACCTTGGGAACATCCGTTGTTTACCTTCCTCCAGGCTCCGACTTGTCCGCTGGAAAACAGTTGAAAGCTGAGAAGCTGATTGCCTTAAATATATATTTTATTTATATTTTAGAATATTTTAAAACATGTAGTAATAAAGCCATTCTTATAGAAATGAAACCATTTGTATTAATGCAAGCTGCTTCTTGATGCCTGTCATTATGTACTGTCTTATCTGGAATTCATTGCTATTACCAGCTGTTTAAAGAAGTACATCTATATTATCTATATATACCCAGACAAAAATACAAGTGTAAGAAAAACCAAACATCTTTCAGTATGCTGCCAAATATAGTACCATTGTATTATTGAGCTAGAGCTGTCATAACAAATGTGTTCCCTGGGAGGTTTTGAAATCTGAGATTTATTTTCTTAGTTCTGGAGGCTACAAACCCAACATGGGCCAGGGTTCTGATGAGGAATTCTTCCCTGGTGTTTAGAAAGCAGCCTCTGACGGAGGCTCACTGCATTGACTAGGAGGGACAAGTGCCCTGATGTCTGCTCCTGTAAGGACACTCATGCCCTGGTAAAAGACTTCACCCTTTCCCAAAGCCACTGGAAATAAAAGCGTGCACATGTGAATTTGGGGCAGACGTGTCCAATGCAACCATCTGGAAGGAAGCAAAACGTGTTTGTCAAACTGAAGATTGTTAACTTAGCTATGTTTGGTTGCTGCTAGCAAATAATATTGGGGCAATTAGAAAAGGCGCCCTAGTCTGGCAGTGACGTGTAGTCAGGCCCTGCTGCAGAAGGGCAAACTAGAAAAGGTTCTGCTCCTGAACCATGGCACACAGAAGCAAGATCCGGAGCAACCTTCAAATGATCCATGGTAATGCTCAAAACAAAACTCTGCCTGTGCTTTAAGAAAGAGAATGTGCGGTTTATGCCTCTTCTGAAAACTAGCCATGGAGCCCTCCGGGATTTATATTCGTGAATGATGACTGTCTCTGAACCAGTTGATAATGATTCATCATTACCCTTTGATTGGCTACGCCACTTTATTATATATCACATTTCTAATTATGCTTTTATATCCTTATGGACTCTAAATTAGATTAAATAAAAGCTGATCTCTGTTTATGCTTCCGCATGGGCACCATGCGGTTCAATCACTCTCTTGGGCTGTCTAGCAGGACAAGTATTATCAAAAATAGCTACTCTTATGTCAGTTTTCTTTTACAGAATCTGTAGACTTTTTGCACTAAAATAATGTCAAGGAAAGCTGTTTGATATATACACAAAATCTAATCTCCAATCTAAAAATATGCGGCCAAAATAGCTTTCTGGTTCTTTTTTTTTTCCTCTCAGGTTCTCATAGATGTTGGTTTTTTTCCAGTGAAAGTTTAGAAATTCTCTTCATTGAGGTAGACACTTGTGAGCAAGAAGGTAATTTCAAGTTCCCGTTAGGTGAGAGGAAATGTCTGCCTTCAGAGAGCAGCCACGGGGGTGCAGAGGTATAAAGGCTGGGATGTTTATGAAGTGTTGAAATTAATTAACTTAGGAAACTCATGTCATTGCAGATGAAGTCAGAGAAAGAAACCTCACCCTGAGTATAGTTGCTGTTGTTTTGTTGTTGTTTTCATATCTGTTATTCATCTTAGACAACTTCATACATCTATACAATCTGTCTTAATCATGCCCACCCCATCTCTTTCCTCTCAGTCCCCACTTTCCAATATATCCTATTTTCTCTCTCTCTCTCTCTCTCTCTCTCTCTCTCTCTCTCTCTCTCTCTCTCTCTCNCCTCCCTCCCTCCCTCCCTCCCTCCCTCCCTCTCCCAATAACTAGTTTCTGCACCCACTAGACTGTTGACTGGTCTTGTTGGCTTGATCTTCTGCAGGGGGCTAAGAGGTTTTGTTTATTTGGTTTTTGTTGTTTGGGTTTTATGTTTGCTTGTTTGTTTTATTTTGTTTTGCTTTTGCCCCTTGGTTATTTTGTTTTGAATTTCTTATTTTACAGCCCATTTTTTTTTTTTTGCCTGTAATCTTCCATCTGTATCTTTGGCCAACATTCTGAACACTATCTTATTTCTAAGTGGCTTTTGTTTTATTTTTTACTGCCCTAACAATAAATCAGTGGCTGTTAAGATACTTTTGTACTTTCCATGTCCTTTCATAAAAAGGTGCAAAATTCTGGCACTTTCTTGGAAGCTACTAAACCCAGCTATATTTTTAAAAACATTTAACTGAAGAAAAGTTTATGTATCACAAAAGGCCCCTGTTCCAAGTATTTGCCTCGTAGGTCTTTCAGTAAGTTTATAGAGTTGTGCCACCAAGGTGACAGCTAGCTTGACAGTGATTTCTGTCACATTGTAGAGATCTCTCCTGCTCACTTGCCTTGGTGTCCGTCCCACTTCCAGCCAAGAGCAACCAACCACTAATCTCTTTCTGCCACAATGAATTTGCCTGTCCTGGACATGTTAGACAAATGGGATGCATCTGTGTTCTCTTCTGGCATAATGTTTTTGAGGTTCATCTGTGTATCATCGATTTCTTTTTATTGTTGAAGATTATTTTACTTTGATTCTACCTTCTGTTTCTCAGAGCCATATATTTTCCTGTTGAGAACAGATAAATATTAACTTAAGTGCTATTTTTAAAATCATTGCTCAAAATTTATATGTAAGATGATATTCAGCTCCTAACAGAGCAATTGCTCACTCACTCACTGTATCCCCCCCATTTGAAGAGTAGAGGGGCCTCGATTTCTCAACAAGTGATCCCATTTCTCAACAAGTGATCCCAGTTTCTTCATTAGGCCTCCCGGATACAAAGTAGCAAAGAGAAAAGGAAACTTTTCCATTAAAGCTACCTCCAGGGCTGGGAGGCTCGGTGAGTAGACTGTCGGCTGCATGAGTGTGGACGCCCGAGGTGTGAGATCTCTGGAACCCTCTTTAAAGCCAGACACTTTATATACAAGACCAGTGGCCAAGATAGAGACTGGACACAAGAGCTGACCCTGTTGCCAGGGTCGCTGATGAGCCAGCCCTGTAGGCATGAGAGCAGGAGAACGGACACCCCACCTTTCCAGCATGCCCCCTGCAGCAATCCAGAGAGCGGACCCTGTGCCTCATTGGTTCAAAGAGCAGAGCTGACCCTGACAATATAAGCAAGGAGGACCTGGATGTGAGGGCTTGAGAGCAGGAGATCTGGCCCCTGCTCCTTGCTGCCTTCCACAGTGAGTGAGCTGGCCGAGGCAGTGCCAGAGGGGTCATCCCAGTAGTGACCATGAGGGAACGCTAGCAGTCTGACCAGCCAGCCCATCGCCAGGCCCAGAAGCTGGGATGAGTTGGTTTAAGCTATCATCTTCCAAATCTATGAACTGCTGGAGCATTTGCAGGGGATGAGCCCACAGGTCCAAAACAGCAGGATCTCTAACAGAACAACAACAGGATATCCAAGAGGAGCCCCGGCGAAAGCCCATTATCGGTGGTGTGGCAGAAACCAGAGGCCTCGAGCCAGACCAGTGACTTGTGGCAATGGACACTTGCAAATAAAGATGAATGGACAAAAGGGTAAACTGTGTGCACACTACAGCGTCCATGATAAGATTCTTCTTTCCTCCTCCTCCCCCTCCTCCTCCTCCTTT